AGGAAAGACAAAGGTATAAATCGCCTATTTTTCTTTTCTTTTGTCAATCATTTGAGTCATAAACATACGCAGAATGTACCCGGTTAGTGCTTGTACGTGCCACCTTTTCAGCAATTAAAATTTAGGTGACAGCTTAGTCGAAGGAACAGTTCAGTCTGCTCACGTCACATTGTGACTACATGAATTTCAGAGGTCTCCATCGAGTTCTATCTAGTATATCGTGAGTTGGGATAAAGCCCTTATCCTCAAAAAACTTTTGAAGCAAGACCAACGTCACTTTTTGACAATCGGTTCTACTTCTCTTGTTCTATTCCCAGAAAGTGCTGAAATCATTCCTTGCATGATATCATTGCAGCTACTTAGAATAACGCTTTGTAATTTACAGCCCACGTTAATATTCGTTCATTTAGCCAAGAACCAAGAATCTTGCATGAATTGTTGTAACATTCGTCATTCAGATACAAGGGTAAGAACAGAAAGAGTTTTGATAGAAAATTACAAGAAAAAACAATGGTAATCTTACCAGTAGAGTTGATCGCGAGATGGCTGAAATATTATTAATCGATTAATGTACAAAATAAGTGAAAATAAACGGAGTCTCGTTGTGGGCTAAGGAATAGTAAAGTATTCTTCATCTGAATGTTCTGTGGAGAGTTGTTCTGTGATGACAAGGCACAGCAAATCGTCGATCATTTTATATGCCAATTTGGTCATTTCAGTGTTCATGAGAAGAATAAACATCTTGTGACAAGATCCTAGATGACTTCAACAGCTCACATTATTACCAACATGGTACTCCGGAGGATTGGAGGCGTCTCATCTTTGCAGCTGTCTCATTTTCCGCTAGGAGACAAAGGAAGTGCTTCAGTTTTCTATCGTTCTTCCATTTAATGCATTCGAACGCGTTTCGAATAGTCTACAGTTATCCACTTTTTCAGTAGCATTTAAAATTTACGCGAGCTAATGAAGTGAAGCTACATTTATTAACTGTGTAAGTAAAAGATTTTTTGATTCAGTAGTTGAAAGGTAAGGCAAACCTGTTGCATTTTTAACAACATTAAATCTCTCTCTCAGCGAACAGCATTTTGTGCTGATTTTCACAAATTTCTAAATGTCATCTCAGTTTGTGCCTCACTCCTCACCTACAACTTTAGAAGCGCAGTTAGCAATCGTAGGTGTTCATATTTGTCCCTCGATTGTTTCTAAAAGAAAAATATTCAGTTCGCCACATTCTTCGGTCGATCCTAACGAAACAGCATTTACCAAAACCGCATCCTTTGGTTTTACACCTTGTGATTATTATTACATATTGTATTCAGCTGTCTGACAGTTCAGGCAGATTGCAGCTCTGAAATGTT